TATATATATATAATTGATTTTAAGTTCTTCACAATCCATATACTCATTGTAAAGGGGAAGGATGCTTTCTTAAATTTGAATCTTCCATCAACAAAAAATTTATTTAGTTTTCGTAATTTTACTTTTGAAAGTTTAGTTTTAAGTTAGTTAACTTTATTCTTTCAAGTCCATTTTATATAGCATTCACTTTAGTAGTTAATATTGAAACTTTGCACTTTACTTTTCTTTTCATATTTTTAAATTATAAAATAATTTTAAGAATTTACTTATAGGATTTTCCAACTTCCCTGTGGAATCGATATCTAGGACTCCATTAGTGCCCTTTATTACTTGAGTGATACGCATACTTGCGTTGATTTTAAAGGGGATTTGACAGATTAGAAATTTTTAAAGATAAATTATTTTCATAAAATTTATTTTTGTTCGGATTATATTGCAAATTTATTGTTATATCTGCCGTGTGTATTTTGTAATATTGAAAAATATTTATAAAATTTATGCACTAAATCTGACCGCATCATTAACCCGTAACAGAAAAATTCATATGAAATCCACTAAGGATGGTTGACCTGTCCTAGGCTGCTGGTCGAAGCTTTTGCTTAACAAACATAACATGTTAGGGAAGAGGTTGATAGAAATCCACCAAGGAATTTTGACTTATTTAAGGCTTTATGTAGAAGCTTTTTCTTGACGACTGCAGTGTTGTCAGCTGCGAAAATCCTTGGGAATTATTTTATCTTGATTTAATATAATAAAATATGTAATTTGATTTGGAAAATAGTATGTTAATTTTGAAAAATTTGATACCGAACAAATCCCATACATTTTAATACTTTAAATGACTGAGCACAATACTACAAACAATGCACATATCCCGAAGAATAAGCCTATTACTTGTCAGCAGACTCGACTATATCTGTTTGGTCTGTGAACCTTTTTTTTATATATTGGTTGACAAATTCTCATATCTAATATAAGGATTAGATAACGTTTATATTATTTTAGTTCTCTAGCTCCATATAGAGGCAAGCCCCTATAGTTAATTACATCGTAAGCAACTAAAGTCACGTAAGAAAACTCTCGATAATGACCAGAGGTATTTATCTTCAAGATTACAAAGTTTAGCTTTCAAGGTTGGACATGAAAAAATCAAATGGGAGTGGATCAAATAGGAGCAATTATTTTCAAAATCCAAAGAAACAAGAAGTAGAGGATGTCACAGGTTTTGTGGCAAACCTCGATGACTTCCTAATCTATCCTAATGTTGGTCTTGATGGCTGATGGGACCTTTGGTCCATGGCTCAAAAATGGGTTTAATCTAGGATTGAGGTGGCCAACTCACGTGCTTAGGCTGGGTTAGGGTAATTAGGGTTAATTAAATCAAAGTGTTAGGGAAAAGTTTGGTGTTAGGCTTAAAATGGGATTTGATCTTGAATATGGACTTCAGGATTAGCTTGGGTTTGGATATAGACTAATTGATGGTTCAATTTGGCCTAGGAGAATGCCATGAGGAATTTAGAAATTAAATTTTGTGGAATTAGAGTGATTACATAGCTCGATTTGATGAAATTTGGAGTTGGGTTCACTTTTGGGGTAATTGACTTGGACTTAAAATTTAGGCTTGAAATTGGATAGAATTGGACTTGAATTTGGTCTCAATTGGGATTTCACCTGATGAATTTTAATTTGGATTTAAAATTGGGTGAGTTTGGAATGAATTTGGTAGAGATTGAGGGTGATTTGAGTATTTTATGGGCAATTTGAGAAATTTGGCCAATTTTGGTGGATTTCGGGTATAATTCATTAGGTGGTTATGATTGATTTTAAGTATACTTAGAGTGAATTTAGGAATTTTGTCAATTCTTAGGGTATTGGGGGCATTTTGGTAATTTTAGGTGGTGTAGGGGTATTTTGGTAATTTTGGAAATTTTGAAGATATTTGAGCAATTGATGTAATTTGAAGTGGTTCAACATGATTTTTTGTGAGGAATTGGGAGTTTGGCCAATTTTAAAAATTTTAGGGTTCCAGGGGCAATTGGGTAATTTTGAAGAAAAGTGGGTGAAGGAGACCAAAATGGGATTATACAAGCCATGAAACCTCTCCCCTAAGGTTATAGGACACATGGGAGAGCTCATTTTGGATCCTCCACATGTTGGTCCTATTTTCCCAGTCAAAGGATAAGGGCCTGTGACCACCTATATGAGTCTTCAAAAAGAACCAGGAGATAAGTTAGGTATAGGTGATCTTAGGGTTTGAGTTTGTCCGTGTTGACCTAGATTAAGTCACCCAGGGCTGCCCTAAGGTTTTACTGATCCTATTGGAACTCACACTTGGGTCTTAACATGTTGGTCTTAACAATCCCAAGTGAGGAATGAGGGCTTATGACCACCCATGTGGGACTCAACAAAAAAGTTAAGAAGTGTTTAGAATTTCTATGTGGGAGGGTTCCACCACTAGTTGTCTAAAATAGTCAATAGAAAAGTCCTATGACTTGATCCCAGGCTTCTAAAGAGAAGAAATTAGACCTCATAAAAAATTATGTCAACAAATGTGTAATGGAAGTGGTCGAATCGTTTCCCCCTGAGATTGATTAAGCATAGAAACTCTGATCTGAGCTTGATTTGACTTGGATTAAGCGAATTTTGATATCATTGGGTATATCACATCGAGCCGGTCAGTTTGACTATATATTTCCTAAAATTAGAGTTTTGGATGACTCTTAATTGAAGTTTGAATGTTTCTTGCTATCTCGAGATTTGTGTCATGCCTCGAGATTCGTGCTAGAAAAATGAAAATTTTGTGGTTGCGTATCAATTCATTTTTAATTAAGAATTCTTAGGGCGCGTGCGTGCATACACATACACACACAAAAGCACTCATATCAACATATTATTACAAGTGATAAAGGATATTACAATTTTAACTTTACAATAGTACATCAATATATGCACTAATCAACCCCATATCCAAATATGACAACCAAGCCAAAGCTTCCAACATTATTAGTTTCGAAAGTCATAAAAATACCCAAAAATATGGCCATCATTCCAACACATTACATATTAACAACGTCCAAGCCCTAAAATTTAAAGTTATTTATTCAACATTGTCACACCAATGAAAAATATTTTCTACATTCACTCAAAATTTCATCAACCACCACCACAAAGCTCCAAAAGTAAAGCACAAACTAATGAACAAGGCATGACTCCTTCCACCACGATCCACGCCATTAGATTCAGGTGGCAATAAATTGGCATTCGTTGTCGTTGACGAGCTCCGAGGGAGAGTAGTCGACGGAGACAACTCCGGCGATGCAGCAACCGGCGGCGAGGCTGTTTGGTTGCTAATCACAGTAACTTTAAGCTTCATGCCTCCAAAACAGTGCGGAACATTTGAACAAATGAAATACTTATCGCCAACGCTAGTAAGAGGGACAGTGGTGTTCCCACCAGAACTTGTGAGGATAGCATTTGAAGTGTTGCAGGTGTTATAGCCATTTTTGTCCACCTGGTTGACTGTGTGGTAACTGGAATATTGGAATGCTGATTCATGCGAGGGAGGAAATTCATTTTAGCTTCAATTAAATGTATATATTTTGTAATATTTTTGTACCTCTTTTGTCATGAAGTTTTAGTAGAGAATTCACTCATATTTGAGGAATGGGGTGTTAGCATGTGCCTTTCATTCTAGGTTCATAATAATGATGTTTGATCTATTTTGCTTACAAGTATCATTATTTCTCAAACATATTAAGCGTATGCACTTGATTAGCTTGATTAACGTACAATTTTAGTTAATTAATTTTTTGAGTTGAGCCCAAGGGCAAAAGATGAGAGATTAAACTCTCAATCTCTATGTCTTAGGTAAGTGCACTGAGCTAATTAATTTCATTTATAAATTTCAAACCTCAAATGAATCAAACCATTTTATATGACCTGAAATGAGTCGAACAAAGATTTAATAAGGTTTAGCAGTAAAGTACTATATGTATTTTAGATAGTATGTATTAATATGAAAACCAAGAAATATTTGTCAAAATTTATAAATTACTCCTGCAGAATTAAAAATATTTATATTGATCTTTCCATCACTTAGTTATTAATAATTCACACACTTTTTTACTTAGTATTTAAAAAATGAGCATAATTTGGTTTTGAATGACACACACACACACACAGATATATATATATATATATATACATATATATATATATATATA